GCCCCAGTGCCCGGGGGGATTTTCTTTCTCTTCTTTTTCCTTTTTTTTTTCTTTTTTGCTTTCTTTTCTCCTAAATGCCCTCGCTGTCGCTGCAACTTTAGTCCAAGAGCACCGCCAAAGAAAAGGAAAGAGGTCCGTTGTCCCCGCGCTCGGGCAGCGGGCCGGCGAGGGCTGGTCGGCGGCCGTGCTGCTCCCTGGTTTGCCTTTCTAAGAAACAAACTTAACATCCGCAGCTGCGGCGACATGAGCTCTCGGTAGATTCAGTCTCCTGGAGCATCGTTTGCGCCACTGCAGGAACGGAGACGGCGTAATTCACAGCTGCGCTTATAAACCAAACCCAGGCCAAGCCTCATCCTATTCCCGTTAGGCACAGCCGCAGCGTTTTCTTGCGTTCCCGTCTCTTAGTCTGGCTCTCTCCTGTTTTAGGTATTTAACCAAAACTCTAGGCGTGAGGCTGTACCGGGACTGCGCTACCGCAGACAGCTGTGGCGCATCGCCTGTAACTGTTTCTATAGGTCAACAGTAGCGCGGGGCTGAATTTGTGACCGCTCTAACCCCTTTTTCTTTTTCACGCAGGCGTTTAACACACTAGGATTTGAATGCACCCTTGAAGAGCTTGATCTTGAAGATATCACCGAGCCTCAAATGAACACGATAAAAGCTTGTACATCTGAGGATTCAGGGGTATAAAAGAAATCAAATTTCAGCACCATGTTTATATGGAGCAGTCGTATAAGTCATCACACTTCCACAAATGATCATGTATCATTTCTTCTTTGATTTGCAGCCTGGAAACTGTCCAGCACTGGAAGGATCTACTTTAGATATGGTAAATTGCATTACATCCCCAAAGAACCACTTATTTCGCTGGTTTTGTGTTTATAACGCATTTAAGGTCATATTCCAGTATTCATAAGTAATTCTGGCTTTTGCAGAATAAATGCTTGCGAGGTATCTATGAAGATCTGAAGGCCTATAGGGCAGAGCTGAACAATTTCAGTGATCAACAGGTGTTGACAACTATTGATGAGTTGATGAAAGTAGGTATTTCTGTCTTTTTTTTCCTGTATGTTATTTCTGTCTTAAAACAGAGATGTTTATCCAGTGTGTTCCAGTCTGCAATCGGTCAAATAACAAACTCTCTGCAATCTGACTATTTAAAAACTTGTCTCTCAGCTTTTTTTACTTAAGAGCCTAGTAGTAAGTACTTGATTCTTATGAATTATGATGCATCTCATTTGGTGTTTTTGTCTCGCTACTATGGTCAGCGCATCAATATTCAGATTCATCGCTTTTAGGAGTCCTCATTCTTTCAAACTGTCCTGTCCTTGTGAGGAGATGGTGTATGTGATTTTCTGCAAATTGCTATAGACTTTCAGAGAACTCAGTAAAGAGCAAAAGGATACACAGCTCCATTTCTCTTCCAAATACTGACATACAACGTGACTGGCATACTGAATATGAAGTAGGTTGTACTGAACTTGGATAAATACTATTAGTGAGATGAGGGAATAGATGTGACTTTTTCGTTTAGTCACTTTTTGATTGCACTTTCTACCGTGCCTACCTCTTCTCAGGCGCTGAGGATCAGCAGCACGAGCATGCTGCAGCCATCGTCAAACGCAGGATCAACTTTTAAAGACAGAATGAGGCTATGCAGTGTTCTTCATGCTTTCCGAATCCGCATGGTGACTATAAACAGGATGATGAACTACTTGTCTTCTCCGGAAAGCTCGCTGTAAGCACTCCACTCTGAGAGCACTTTAGGTATAAATTTGAATCAGAGTTGTTTGGAGTACTGAAGAAAACATAGTGGGTTTAATATCCTGCAACATATTTGGGGACTTTTTAGAAATTAAGCACATAATATTTTACAGAATTTCTTAAGAATCAAATCATGTTTTAGTGAGTTACTGTCAACGCCTTTTAGGCTATTGTGTTCAACTTTGACATTTTAGAAAATAAGCTATGTTTTACAAAAATGTTCTCAAACAACCGAACACTCAACTGTATTTTTTCTTAAATGTTGTATTTATTCAATCCTAAGTTTATATAAGTTAAAACATATTTATAATATTCCTGTTTTATTTATAATACTCCTTATTTATTCTTTTATGGCCTAATAAAATTTAAAATATTTATTAAAACTTTGGGGTTTTTTTCCTTCTTACTCGCGCTACGAGATGAATCAATATGACCATACTTTTAAAATACTTTTTAATATTGCTGGCACGTAAGTGGTACATTGTGGTAACGCTCAGGACCGGTATTAATTGAAAAGCCTATTTCCTTCTTGTTAGTCACATCGGATGAGTTTTTTGGGTTTTCTCTCATAGTGGGCAGTAAAAATAACCTGCTCAATTTCCTTTTATAGCAAATTTCTGTCTGTTACATAGTTCATGGTTGAAATCCTGGCCTCATGGAAATCAATGGGTAAACTGTTTATTTCAGTGGAGCGAGGAGTTTACACATGGCTTTTAAGGTCACTGAGGATGACTGGATCATTATTTTCTAAATGCTTAAGCTAGCCTAAAAAGAGCGGGGGTGGAAGAAGGAATCCACTCTGCAAAATCTGCCTGAGGTCCTCTAAGCAACGACTTTTGCAATTGCCATCTACTTTGCCCAGCCAGCTGCTGTGTTATTTCCGCTTCCCACTCATAGTTCTCTGGAGCGTTTTTTCTTCAGCTCTGTTCCCTTGCTCGCTTTCTGCCCTTTGGACTCCTCGGGAGCCATGCTGCCACCATCACTCAGCCCTCGCATCTTTCCCAGGACACCCTTCCCCAGCCTCACCTCTTCCCGATGTCCAGCACAGCCCTTTCCCCGGCGGAGGGGCCGGCTGGGTCCCCTTCCCTTCCTCCCCCTCCAGGGGACAGCTGCCCGTGGCCTCATCCCCTGCCTTCCTAAGCGTAGCTGTTACCTACCTGAGTATTACACCAGCCAACAAAATACAACTCTAAATCCCCAAGAGCTTGCCAGATGAATTAGAGCCTTGCTTCTTACTCCTGTACACTGTCCACAGGATGGGCCAGTTCATAAGGTAAGAGTAGCCTCACACCGTGGCGTCCAGATGATCTTACTCAATTGTCATGTTTTAATTCCTTCTGCCTGCAAGAAAGGGCAGTCGCGTGGACAAAGCCACAACTGAGGAGCACAGAACTATAATACGCCATTTTTTTGAAGGTACTTGATTTGGATTTAAGGAACTCAAATCATAAAAACCTTACCCTATCTTCTGATCATCTGCTACCATAGCCAATTGCCTCATTATTACAAAAAAAGCACCCCATTTCCAGCTTAGACTTACTGACTTCCAATTTTGACCAGTCGGTCCTGTTAGCACTTTGTTTATATCAGATATCTTAAAGTTCCCAGGGACTAGAACATAGATTTTTGAAAGCAAAGGCTTTCAGTTGGAAAGCAAAATCAACTAGGTTAAATTATGTCTCTATTGTTTTTTGGCTTGAGCCACACCAAAATTATGACTTGAATTTGACTTAGTGTGTTTGTTAGAGAAAAATCACAACTTGCCTCTACTTTTTGAAGACTGGCTCTTGTTCCTTCTGTTGAGTCAGGCTGCTTCTTCAGTAGGGTGTTAGGAGCACACAGGGCGTAGTTGTCTTGATTCCCCCTTTGGGCACAGCACTTGCAGGGAAAGTCTTGCTTAGTTCTTGCAAACCCATTGAAGTTGCATGTTCAGGAGATGATTTATTAAAGCATTTAGCACATTTCTAACAAATCACCACTACATATATGCGAAAGGGATTATTTCCAACGCAGACGTATCAGTTGGCCCAGCCTGCGTGAGCTTGTGTGGGAGCCGCAAAGGCAGGCGTACCTGGGTGGCAACGTGGTGGCCCCACGTTACCTTTACAAAGGAAAACATTTATGACCGTAGGATTGCCAAAGTAATTTCAGATTAGTACCTGGGCTAAATAGCTGTCTTAATAAAATAAATGTCTAAAGTGTTTACCCAATTCTCCCATTTTTTCTACTGGGACCTGCACTGTCTCAAACAGACTCTAGAGGAAACGTATCAAACTTTTGTTTGTTTTGTCTGTGAAAAGCATCAAAGTTTTTTGTTGAATTATGATTACAAATTACTCTTATTATGAATCACATAAGAAAAGTTTTATGTTTAATTCCTCTTATTAATTACACAAAAAGACACGCTTTGGTCCTGCTACTGAGCTCATCTGAAGAGTCAGGTCTTCACCACCTTCGTAATGAAGCTCAGGCCCACACACCTGCCTTCTCAAGCTCGGGATTGGCCACCATGTTGCGGGGGGGCTCTCTTACCTTCGTAGATAATTTAGAAAGTGAGCAGTGAGCTGAAGAACGCAAGGCACAATATTCTCCAAGAAAAGCGTTTTGTATTGTAATTTGGCAGATTCACTCAATAAAACTGTTTACTGTAGCAGTAACAGTAGTAGTAACGTTTTGGGAAATGATTGCCTTAACGCTCTCTTCTATGAGTTAAACAGTTTTATTCATGAGCAGGGAAAAAAAAATAATGACATCTGTATTTTTATTATTAGTGGATCCATCCCCAGCGGCACCCGCTACACAGATACCTGACGTTTGCAGAGAGCAGGGAGAAGAGTTTCCACGCGTTACCCACACAGGGCACAGCCGGAGCAGAACGAGCAGGCGACGGCGCTAGGATTGCATTTTGCCAGGAGATTAAAACAAAAAAACCCAAAACGCTCATGCAAATAGTGTAAACGTTGCCTGTTTAATTCTTATTTCTAAAAGTATGCTTTTTCTTTCATAAACATACACAGAGTAGGACGATCAAGAGAATCACAGGTGTCTTTAAAACAAGACAATTTCCCTTCTAAGGTAGCTGTTCTCTTCTGCCAATAACATCACTTCAAAATCCTGTAGTACATGTATTGCCTACAGAGTAACCACCTTTTGATGAATGTTGACTTTCCCTGTTTTAGACGTCTAATTCTATTCAGGTAAAAAATGATCAAGTAAAAATGCATAAAAAGATTGTAGTAAAAAAAAAAATCATACAACATACAAATTGATCTCACAAAAACTGAGACAGACTATATACAAAAGAGCCGATAAGAACTTCTTCTAAAAAAATTCAAAGCTGTCCATAGTTAATATTGGTGCTACTGTGAATCTAGTCTTGAGTTTGTTAGAAAACCGACCCACAGCCCAGCACAGCTTGAATGTGCAGGACTACATACAGGAATTATGTAAACGAATTTATCTGCAAGTTTGAGAATATTCTTCCCTGATCTTAGACATCTGTGAGAAATGCAATATATACCTCATGATTTTTGCAGTTTAATTTTTTTAAGGTGATGAAAGCTTCTATAAAACTTTTCTCCCTCTGTCTTTCCCTGATTCAAACAAAGCTGCTTCAAGATAAAATCCCGTAGATGAAAAAGGTAAACTAATGTTGCTGAGTGCTCGTGTCTCTTAGAACTGGCTCAACTGAGACAAAATTCAGTGGAAGTTTTAGGTTTCACATTCACCACGATTGGCACTTCCCTCATGACGAGACAGTTCCAATGACTGGTATCTGAAACAGTTGAGTAATTACTCCTGAAAACATTAAATTCACTTACATCAGCGTAAAATTTCATACCCACGTCTTTCGAAGATTTTGCCTGAACTTTCCGCTGACGGATTAGAGCTCGCATCTTCATAACAGAATTGCAGCGAAATCCCAGGTAAACAGCTTGAAAAGTTTAACCATTCAGCTGAGGAAAATTCCTGACTTTTCTCCTTTTCACTGCTTCTCCACAAATTCATCACTGAGCCAAAAAACCTGAGGAAACGAACACACACATACACACACGCATATATATGTATTACTTGATCTCTACAAGTTGCTACAACATTCATGTTGAATAACAAGTGTACATATACATGTTTCTAAGGATGAGGTGAGTGAGGGAACATGAGCAATGGTTCCCTCTTTGAGAGCCAAGTTACCTTTACGGAGAGTTAAGAAAGAACAAAGTTGTGTCTGTGTCCTCCAAAAAAACATTAGTTTTTGAGAAAGGTTCTCCGCAGCTGCTTGAGTTCTGGCCCCGCAGAGCACCTTTTGTATGGGCAACGTCGATGAACACGAGGCGTCCCGCAGAAATCAGTGGGACTGTCCACGTGCAGTAGGGAAACACACAGGACAAGTGTGCCGGATCGAGCCTTTAAATTGTCAGGGGATGGTGTTAAACTTCAGTGCTACTAAAACGCAAGCAGTAAAGACACAAACCTTTCCGCTTTGGGCTCCCTATAAAAAACCAAGAATTTGCTTGGGTATGTAATGCCGGCTGGTTTGCAGCAGTCAGGTCATGTATCAGCTATTCTAAATGCAGTGACTACAAAAATATTTTCCATTTTATATCAGTTTCTGAAGGGAAGTCTAAAAACGCCACAAGAAAGAAAATGATTGTTAATTTTCAAGGGAAACTGAGTTTTACTGGATAAAACATATACCAGGTATTTAGCAAATTCTCTGATGAGAATTCTTTAAAATATGCCTGAAACATAATGATATAATTAAAAATATATAGTAAGAGGTCGACCTGTACCTTCCAGTACTTCTAGTACGTCATACGACGCCTTATCCTTGAGTCTGTTGTACAAACTTTGTGCAGTTGCGTTACTTTTCTCTCTGTCTCTCCACATGTTTAACATCAGAAATTTCTGAATGTTGACTTCCTCCTCCTTTGCCTGAATCTGATGAATGTCTTTCATTTCTAGCTGAAGACATTCGATGGCAATTTCTTTCCACTCTCCGCCAAACCTCTTTGCGATCATAATCAGTTGCTGATCAGTCAGTATGCTTCTCGTTTGAACGCCATCTGAAATGATACCCGACAAAAATCAGAACCAACGTTGCTCTCCATATGGGACTTCCTAATTAAAATGATGCTGTTAGTGTTGTGCACTGCCAGGAGAGAGATGAAGGAGACCTTATTAGTCAGATAGCGGAAAGCGGATTTTCACTTTATGGCTCAAGGCTGCGGCAGGTTCCACGCCCTGGCAGCCAGGGAGCTGCTGGCTCCTTGGTCTGCTATTTTATAAAACAGCCAGGGATTTCTAGACGTGCAACACTAAGGTCATGCCGAGTACACCTATCACCCCAAAACTTCTGAAAAGATTGTTTTCCTTGGAACCTACGGTTGCTTCCAAAAGCTGAAATTTGGTTTTGCTTTAGTTACAGTAGCCAAGAAGTCTCAGCTTGAACGGTGACATGGACTAAGCACACTTCTGCCCCACGTCGGCCGTGAGAGAGCAGAAGGACGCTCTGCCTGAGGAAAGCCCTCCCTCTGGTGGCAACGCTCACCTACGCACAAACCCCCGCATGGTTATTTTTGCCGACGTGCAAACCCTTAACGGATTCAAGAAACGTTAACGGATTAAAAAAATGACCATGATTCAAATGCTATTAGGTATTTCCCCCAAAAGGAGAGCCCAAGATAAACAGGTACTGGAGGCCAAAGAAGTAAGACTCTACAGAAGTAAGACTGTAATTGAGATCCAATGTAAAACTGGGAGCTAAAGCTTTTCACATATGAATTTTTTTTATATACTAATGAACTACAATTATTTTGTCCATAATTTTTCCAAGTAACCATCAGTAAATCTCTAAGCCTGCAGTTCGGGGAGAAGAAGGAGAACGGTTAGCATTGCTGGCACCAGCAAGGCACCCGACGTCTTTGGGCACCAGCATCTCCGACCATCAGGACAATAAATGGGAGCTGATTTTTTGTTTGTTTGTTTTTTCAGAAAAATTCAGCCTGTTATGGCTAAAGGGATATCCCAAATTAAAAAACTTGAGACGTACAGTGGAAACCTCTTTTAAAAGCAGCTGTTAGTTCCCAGTCCAAGGAGACAATACCATCGTAGGTGACCCTCATAAATGCAATTCCCAAGTTGCTCCTCTACACGTACTTCCTGCAGGAATGGCAAACAGTGTCCGACAGTGTACCAATGAGGTATATACACCTACCAAAGCACCACTCTCTTCCCTTGTATTTTCTGGTCACATTCATAGCCATAATTAAAAAAGTTAGCTCTAGAAGTGCAATTCATGGCATGCAAGAAAACCCTAACCTGATATTTTAATCCACACAAAAACACTCTACCTGCAGTATCGCTGCCCTTCTGCTTTTTCCAGTAGTGTTCTTCGTCTTCAGAAAAGCTGTTGGTGGGTTTTCGTCTTTTGACACCTAAGGGGGAAAGAACAGTTGATGTTACTGCTTCCGGGTCACATATACATCACGTGGGCTAAATAAGCACTAGAAGAGACTCCAAAGTATCTCCGAAGTGACTTACTGACTGCGTTTCTCTTCTGCTTGTTTTTGTTCTGATCGTGATGTATCCAGTCACCTGCCAAACATTTTCCCGAGAAAACAAAAGGTGAGGTAGCAACTCCCATTGCCGTGCCCCAAATTCAACGGTTCTCACGTGTAAAAACCCCGTTCGGTGTTGGCCTGCAGCTGGGCCGAGATTTAATAACCAGGCTCTGCAACAAAGTTAGTTCCCCCTTTTTATCCAGCATGCTGCAACCCGCGGGAGGTGGCAGTCCCAGCAATCGAACCCGGCTCAGCCCGCGAGGCTGAGGTCCTCGTCCGTGCCGGGGTTTGCCTGCGTGCAGGGGCGCGAATAGGGGAGGACCAAATTATATCCCAAGTCGCCCTCATTTGCAGCGGGAACAAGTCACCAGCCAAAACATGCCATGCTCACTCTCTCTTAGTTTTGCTTTCCATACAATCGCATCGGACTCCAGCTCGACCAAAGATAAGGTGAAGTCATCAGGCTTCTCCAAGTAGACTTCAATGTAACTCTTCAGTTTCAAGAGAGAGCCGTCCACAAATTCGATTTCCTGCAAAACATAAGGACATTAACAACAAGCGTTCGCCCAGAGGTAACTTCGACAGACGGCACTGACCGCCGGCACCGATCTCCTGGAGCTTCGCCACTGCCGGCTGGTGGAGCCGGGATGTCGCCCCAAGGTTGGAGGCCGTGAAGGGCCATTCGCTTTCCGCAGCGACGGCCCAGGGGTGGCAGCTCACGCCGCGGCACGCAAGGCGACCACGCGCCTGGACCTTACCTCCGGGTTTACTTCAGCTTCTGGCTCGCACACTAATCGGTATCTCTTTCCTTTCTGCAGCAATTTTTGGCAAACGGGGGGCTTGTCGATTTTAATGAATTTCTTGTTGGAGTGTTTCACCGCTCTCGATATATCCTAAGATTTAAGAACACAGGTTAGATGTCACTCGCCTCAGCAGACGAGCTGCTGAAGCCCGCGCAAATGCGGCGCTCGTATTCCCGGGCTGTTTCTTCTCTCCCCCCAGCTCTGCCAAAGGGTCTCGGCCCCCTCCACACACACAGCAAACGGCAAAACGCGGCCC